TTCCTAAACCGTACCTACATGTGCCGTAATCACAGCGTCCTTGTACCCATAGCAGCCACATTCGTCTTGTACCAGGAACTGGGTGCCTTCCTTGGAGATCTTCGACTTGCGATCTTCGATCTGTGACCCTTGACCTGTGATCCCCAATCTGTGGCCCTCGACCTATGTTTTCTGCTCTTCGATCGTCAACCTTCGATCTTCGATCTAGATCTCCTCCTCGATCCTCCGATCTTCGATCTTCGACATTCACACTTGATCGATCTCGGCCTTGCATGTACCACGTAGATCAATCTTTGATCCTGGTCGATCTAGGTCGATCTTGGCCAGATCGACATTGTGTGTGCATCATAGATCGATCTTGGTGTGTGTCATACCATCATGATTACGCTCCACGTGATTACGCCGCGTGATTACGGATACCCGTCCCATGTGGTCAATAATCAGTCGCCAACAGTCGCCACGTGGCACTGCGACACGTGGCATATTTTTGAAGAGTCGCTTCACCACAGCCGCCCCCTGTACCAGGTGCGCAGGTACACCATTCGCGCCTGGCGCACACTCTTGCGTCGTCCCCTCGCACTCTCCGCCTCCGCCCATGCGTCCCCAGTGCCTCTGACTCGTGTACAAATGTCTCGCACTCGCATTCCGTGTAGGTTGTCCGTGTGTGACGTATTATATCGGTGTCTCGACTAATATTGTGTGTAATACGAACAGTACGAGATATTGCTGCATCCACCCATTGCCAATGTACTACCAAGTCATCCTGTGGCGTGTTGCATAGATGGTATCGGTTGCTACACGCTTGTTGGACGTTCGTTGATCTTCTACTGACGTTAGGATGGTTTTGACAATAGTGATGTTCGATCTTCGCTCTGAAGGCAGACACACCGTAGTGTATAAGGTTCGAGCTTGCTATGGGAGCGTTTGTTGATCTGCTGTTGACATGTTGTCATTCCTGGTGTCTCCGACTGCTATCCGGGCAAGGTAAACTTGCGATCTTCTTCGAGGAGTCAATCTTAACCTAACAACTGGTGCTTGTTTACATTGGGTCAATGTATGTTGATCTTCACATTCCTACGTCGGGTGTAGGCATCGGTCAGATTTGGATCCAGGTCCTTGGTTATCATGATTGTCTCCCAAGCTGGCGTACGCCGAACGAACGTTGGCCTTCGATCTCAACTTGTTGTGACAAGAGCTTGGTCTTCAAGTTTCAATGTTCGTCTTCAAGTCATCATCGCCCTTGACCCCCCGGTATTGATCTCGTCCTTAGCATCGAACTTCGGGCAGATCAACGGTCTCCATAACACGGCTGGACACGGTCATCTTCGAGAGCTTCAAGGTTTGTATCTTGATCTGTCAGTTTCACCTCCGTTTCCGTAACACCCTTGATCACCCCATTTCTTTGCCTGTTGACTTTCAGGCATCTCACTCATCCTACAAATAGTACCCGTCCTCCAATGTGTGCGGCCACCCCGCACACTCTTCTTCTCTCCGCCTGCACCATCTCTCGGTTACAGGTTGTCCGCCGCCTCTTCGTGCGACTGCATGACGTTGAACCGACTATGGTTCGTTTGAGTTCGTTCAAATTCAGCCAAGAGCGCCCCACAGTTGAGGTCGGCCTCGTCCACCCACGTGGGTTCGCGATAGCCTTTCCAAAATACTTTGAACTCTCGGTGTACGCGGCCATACCGCGTGCGGTGTCCAGATCTCACGTCGGCGATCCGTTCCACCTCGAATTCGCCCTCGCCCAAAGGAGTCTCCCAGCTGTCCTCCGGAAGTAGATCTTCATCGAAGTCGACTCGGTCTCCTTCCTCGACCAGCAGGGTGCAAGTTGGGCGGTCGGTCGCCCTCACCAGCTTCAACTTCGACAGGTGCACCACAGGGAAGATGCGGTATTCTGTTCCACTAGTCTCCACACGTGCGGCATGATCACCGATGAGCTCGGTCACACGAAAAGGGCCGTGCCACATGTGGGCCAGTTTCCTTGCGAACCCTTCCTTTACCCGGTCCAGGTAGAGCCATATTTGTGATCCTTACTCGATCTTGTGGGGCCTAACTCGATCGTTATGTTGGGCAGCTCTGGCTTCTATCGCCTTTCGGAGATTGTTATTCACCACTTCTCTCGGCCGTTGATATTTCAATTGCAGACGATACCTCCACCGGCGGGCGTCGCTGTCTTTCCGCCTTGTTGATCCAATCGGAAGCGTCGCTTCCAGCGTTGATCTTGCGTCCCACCCATGCACCAGATAAAAGGCCGATCTTGCGCCGTGTTGAGGGCAAACGTCAAACGTTCGGCGTAGTCATCCCAGTCCTGTTGATTGACATCGGATACGTACATCTTCAGCGCTCTCGTCAGTGTTTGTACCGTTCGCTCCGCTTTTCCATTACCCTGCCCCTGCGGGCGGTATGCCATGGTGGGACTTTGCCTCATCTTCACGATCCGATTAAACGCGCGGAAAAAATCTGCCATGAATCCCGGTTCCCGATCGTGCCTGATTACTTCACTTGCGCCAACCGCTTGAAGACACATTCCTCGTAGTTTTCCGCCACCGCTTGGGCTCCCCGCGATGGTCCAGCCTTGGCGATCATGTATCCGGTGAACAGGTCAGCCCAGATCAGTAACTCCGTGTTCCCTTCGTGTATTTCGTGCAATCTGTTCAGCGTGATAAGTCCTGCCGTTCTCCCTCTGCTGTCACGATCTAGCCTTCTTCACGTTGCAAGGCGGCACTGGCGAGCTTGTCGGCACTTTAAATCTTTACGTGTAAGAATTCGTGCTTCGGCCAAGATCGCAGTTGGTTCAACGCCTTCTGACGTAACAGCTGCAGACCTGGCGCCTTACAGTCGATCTCGCCTCTCATCTGGCGGATCACCAAGTTGGAATCATCACAGAACACGACTCGCCCCTGGCTTGAGTCAAGAGGAGATCGAAACACAGCAGTAACCCCCTGTACTCCGCCTCGTTCACTGTTAAATCAGGCATGTGCTCAGAAATCGCATCAAGGATCGTCCACTCGGGGAGTTTCTAGAGGATCGCGCTGTATGCGCCTCCCGCACGCTTCACTCGTGCCGATCCGTCAAAGCTCGCCACCAACAGGCTCTCTTCCGGCTCTATGGTTGGAGGAATCGTGGCGATCATCTTCCGGGGTTGCTTCTTCGGGGCTATTGCGATTAGGGCCTCGTCAACTTCTGCTCGAGGAGTGATACTCGCCGCGATCGCCCCTAAGATTTCTTCTTCACCTTTGAAACACTTCGTAATTTCCAACGTCCAACCCGACAACAATGCGGCCCACCTGCCGAAACACCCGTCTACCCCATTCGACTTCAGGAGCCAGGCTAGCGTGGAGAAACGCGATAGCACCTTGATCGATCTGGTGACCAACTGCGAGTAGCAGACGTCCAACATGCGAAGAAGAGCCAGGACCTCCTTATCTACGATCCCATAGTCCGACTCGTTGGTCTTCAGCGTCCGACTGGTGAAGGTTACTGGCCAATACACACCGCCGTGTTCCTGCATTAGTGCCGCCGAGATCGCCCACTTGTTAGCATAGAGGACTATGACTGGCGCCCGCCCTGGATCGAAGTGCTTCAAGATCGGGGTGGAGATGATCTTCGCTTTGAGTATGGTGAACGCATTCATTGCTCGTGTCTAGCGATCGCGTTCCTCGTCCGCTGGTGCTGTCCCTTCCTCCGGCTCTCCGGTCGACTTCAGCCGTGCGATCTGGTAGTAATCTACTTCCCGAAGCTCGTACAAGATCGCTGCATAGACTGCAAAGTCCTCGATGAAGCGGCTGTAGTAATTCAGGCTTCCAAGGAACGACTGCATCGACTCCAGCTTGGTGGGGAAAGGGAGATTCGAGAAGGCTTCAAGGTTCTTCGGCTTCGCTTCCAACCCGTCTGTCGACACCTGGTGTCCCAGGTAGGTCACTTTGCGCCTGCCCCAGTAGCTTTTGGCTACACTGATCGATTGGTTCCAGCGATCGCATACGTCCAGCAGATTTTCGACCTTGTTGCACAAGCTGTCCCACGTGTCTCCCGTCACGAGAATGTCACGTACGATCGCCGCCCCAAGATCGACGGTTTGGGTTCTGGTTCGGGCTCTCCCTCCTCGAACATATCGATTGTCTTGTCTTGGCCAGGCTAGATGCACACGCGCCCATATAGTGCATTGTCCACGATCCGCTGGTAGATCTGCGGAGCGTTCTTCAGACCGAACGGTATCCTCGCCCATTCGAATAACCCGAATGGCGTGATGAATGTTGAGATCAGTCTCACCCGCGGCGTCATTGACACGACCCAGAATCCACTCGCCATGTCAAGGGAGCAATACCAAAGCACCTTGTCCAAGTCCTCGAGGAGATCGTTGATCAACGGCATCGAGTGCACCATCAGCCTCGTCAAGCTGTTCACCACTTGGTAATCGATGCAGAGGCGGATATCCACGCCATTGGCCTTGATGATGACCACTATTGGTGACGCCCAAGGTGAGATTGATGGAGCGATGATCGTCGCCGACAGCGGTCCCGTGATGATCATGGATAACTTCTCACGGAACTGTGGAGCTACTCTTCGGAAACGTTGTGCTACCGGTTTCGCGTTCCCGACGACGATATCGCAGATCGCTCCATGCGCATCGGGGGGCAGTGCGTTTCCAGCTCCGGTCAAGAGGTGACGCCGCTTCTATATGATGCGACGTAGGCGTTGCACTCTTCCGGCGTCGAATCTGGATCTTCCACCCGGATATCGTCTATCATGACTTCTCTCGTGGTGGTCTCGATTTCCGGCAACACCGCCCTGTGGTTCTCGATGTCTTCCGGGAAGATGTCTCCGCCCTCGTGGTAACAGACGGCGTCATCCATGTCGTCGTCGGCTTCCCTGTCCGGCTTCACCAGCACTTCCGCTGGTCCAATCTTCTGATCTGGTTCACCTGCCTGATCCTTCGGCTCGATCTGTTCCTGGTCTTCTCTCGTGTCTTCCGTGGCGACGTGATCTGCATCATCCGGTTCAGGTTTTAGTGGTTCGCCTCCTGCCGTCGGTTCTTTGATCTTCGTCTCCACGCAGGGTGATGGTTGGATCGACATCAGCTTCCGCGGTTTCGGATCCTTCTTCAATATATCTGTTCGTGTGTTGTACAGCGGTCTGTCGACCAACGATCCAGCCACGACTTCGTCTGAGTCCTCTATCGGTGGTTCGTCGGCGGTGGCTTGGAACGCCAGGTTCTGCCATTCTGCATATCGTCGTGATCCAACCGAGACGTATCCTGGGGTCCGCGGTACGTGATCTCCCGCCAACCAGATTCCTGTACTGGTGTCGCGTTGTGGCTTTATTGGTTGATCTGACACGTTCGTGATACGTAGATATTGCGTCCGGCCTAGTCCTCTAACCACCGTTGGGACCCATCGATCTCCGCGGGTGACCCACAGTTTCTGCTTATCTGACAGCGATCTCCGGACAGCGATCTCCACGTATCCTGCCACCGGAACGTTACCGTGTTGGTTGAACGTGATCAGTCTCGAATTTCCGCTGAAGAGCTGCCAACGCCCAGACAGCTGGATGCGTACTTCGTCTGGGAGGCACAATGACCCATCAGCCAGATCGAGACAGATGCCTGCCGGGACCATGAAGTCCATTCCCAAGATCGCTTCCTGACCCGTCAAGTCACCGACCCATGCATCGAAGTAGTATACGTACGCTCCTGCGAGCGTGATCTTGATGCGGGTACGTCTTTCGGTCATGTATGTGTTCTCTCCGATCCCCAAACATTCTTGTCTCTGACTGTTGTCTATAGTGCATCCCACCTTACGAGCAAAGGTAGAATCCACGATTGAGATCTCTGCGCCGGAATCAAAGAGAAGTGTGGCCCTCTCGTTGTTGATCTTGGCTGTAGACTTGGTCTGTTTAAACCACTTGCCGGGAGCATGGTATTTCCAGTATCCTCTTGACTCCCCTGGCAGCAGATCTAACTCCATGACCACATCTGTGCGGGAGTAATCGTCCTTCTGTAAGTTCGCGATCGCAAAGGTAAGCTTCTTGTGTAATTCAAATGTATTGTTGATCTGCTTACTAACCTCCGGTTTCTCTCGCTTCTCGACGTAAGCAAAAATGCATATCTCAGAACGCTCGGCTGGTACCAGATTCCAACCTGGCGAGCGTTCTAATTTAGCATCTTCTCCGCGTTCGCTGGCAACATTCCTGCATGTTCGTTCGGGACATACCACTGGCGGATCAGATTGTAGAATTCCTCCATTGGGCACTTCCCGGAGTCGTGCATCTCTCCGCATGCGCGACAGACGAAGAGACAGTGGTCGGATGGGTGTCCCTTCCGCCCAGACTTCTGGCACATCAGTCACTTCCAACATCCCAGATTGTCGTGTTTTGTGGACCCGCAGTGGGTACAGTTCTTCTGCAACATTGTGGTATGGTCGGGGTTGTCTTGGTGTGCCGACGTCGGTGCTTGGATTCCCCACTCCTTCGATTCTGCGAGGTACACCCGGCGGCACTCGTCTTCTTGCTCCATTCCGCTTGCATCGGACTCCGACTCACTGCTGTCTTCGGCCTTCTGGATCGCTCGCACGGCTCGCGCATTCTTCGCCGGCACGGACTGAATTTTGGGCGTCGACTTCTGGCGGAATTTGTTTGATCTGGCATGGGCTTTGCCCTCACGGGCTTTCGCGCGCTGGTGGGCTCGTAGGGTTTCTTCCAGATCTTCCGCGTCCGTCAACCGAAGTAGCGCCAGTTGACCGGCCAGATCGCGATCATCCAGTGTTTCGATGAAGTGTTCGACATGTTCGCGTCGAGTGGCTGCTGGGCCATCCTTAATCTGCAGCCTCGCTCGCATGCCGGCCACATTGAGTCGGTGGAGGTACTCCAGAAGCGACTCGTCCGATCGCTTCTTCGCGTGGTAGTACTGCCTCGCGACAGATACTCCTCTCTCGCAATATTGCGTCTAAAAATCCTCCAGTAAGCTTTTCCAATTGCCTGGGGTTGATCGGCTCAGCTGTCGATACCAGTTGCGCGCTGGACCGGTGAGCAGATCGCCCAGCACCAAGCACTTATCGCTGTTTGGGGCTTGATCTCGGACAAACGCAGACTTCACCTTGCCCAGCCAACTTTTCGCGCGATCTTCGTCCTGGTCTTTGCCGGAGTGCTCCTTCAGTTCCAATATCGCGGATACTCGGATCCGGGGCGTCATCGTCGACGAAGTGGATGTCGGTCCTGCAACTGCTCCTGCGGATACGACTACTGCTTGTCGCGTTGTATCGATGCTCAAGTTGTCTGGATCGAATTTGTCGTGTGAGTCGTGGTACGACTCGACAGACTCCATTTCCACGTCTTGGACATTCTGGCCGGTTCCACCCGCCGTCGACTTCGATCCTGCCGTTTGTTTCTCCATGAGGTATCGATTCATAGCCGCGTTGATGAAAGTCTGCATCTGCTCGGGACTTCGTGCTGGTGTTACGGCCGGCGTCGACTCGCGTGAAGATCGTCCCGACTTAGCGTTAGCCTGGCGTTCCTGCAGCATCGCTGCTCCTGACGGGCCAAGAGGCATACGCTCCAGATCGACCGAACTGTCTGATCCGACTTCGGACGTATTGTGACGACCCTGTTTGGTATTCCGGGCCGCGGACTGGTGTCCGCTTGATCGTCTCCGGCAGTGCGACTGATCCAACTAGTGGATCCAGCTTGTTGTATAGCAACGTCGCTGAGCGGTGGATCACCGTCGTCTCCAGGTCGAACA